GAGACAGGGTTTCTCTGTGGCTTTGGAGCCTGTCCTGGAACTAGCTCTGTAGACCAGGCTGGTCTCGAACTCACAGAGATCCGCCTGCCTCTGCAAATCTTAAAAACTCTTTTTATAAGGGTGATTAGAAGTGAGTACCTGATTAATGCTAGCATTGCCCAACAGAATTTGTCAACAGAAATGTGTTGCGGCTATCTCTCAAGATGACAGCCATTAACTACACAATAAATCTTGTTCAACTGTAGCTAGTGAGAGTAAGAAACTGAATTTTAATTTAATTCACCAGGCATTCCATAGATGTATAGACACACATAAAATAAAAATAAATCTTTAAAAGATAAAAGGAAAAAATAAAGCTATTATATAATAAGGCTCAAAGTAAATAAAAACAAACAAAACAAAAACCAAACATAAAATAAGAAAAACTGACAAATACTGTAAAGTTAGGCCAGACTATCTTATGATGTGGGAGTGTCATATATCAATCTGTTGATTTCATTGGCTGAGCAATAAAGAAACTGGTTGGCCCTGATAGGTTAAAACCTAGGTGGGAGGAGTAAACAGAATAGGATGCTGGGAGGAAGAGGAAGTGAGCTCAGACTCTGCTCGGCTCCCAGAGAGACTCGACATCTCTGCACTCTGGAGCAGAGACACCATGATGGACGGAGGCTAGAATCTTCCCGGTAAGCGCACCTTGGGGTGCTTACACAGATGATTAGAAATGGGCTAAATTAATATGTGAGAATTAGCCTAGAAGAGGCTAGATAGAAATGGGTCAAGCAGTTAAATGAATACAGTTTGTGTGTTGTTATTTCGGGCATGAGCTAGCCAAGCAGCCGGGGTGTTGGGGACGCAGCCCCGCCGCTCATATTTCAACAATCTTATACTCACCAGTTATTGAAAAACTGCTCTGAAATAATCCCTTCTAGTTTAATAACAAAGTAGGTTTTTAAATGAATCAATTATTCTACAGTCTGATCGTACCAATAAATCAAAAACCTCATTGACATCCTTCCCCCGAATCTCAATGCCGTTGATCTCCAGAACCTCGTCTCCTTCGTGTAAGAGCCCACTCTTCTCTGCGGCACCGCCTTTCACGATACGGCTGATGATGACAGAATCCATTTCATTACGAACCGTGGCACCCTAAAAACACCCAACATCTAATTTAAACATAAAAATGTAACTTTTGTTAAGCATTTCATTTTTAAATCCTATTTTTTAATCTGATAAGACCAGTCTTTATCTGAGAATAAATTCACTCACATGGCTACAGTTAACAACTAACTACACATGAAAGCAAAGCATTCCCCCAGAACACTTTGTTTAGAAATACTTTACTCATTAAAATTCTGAAATCACACAGATTTCTGACGCATATAATAACAGAAAAATGTACTCAGTGTTTAAAGACATAAAAATCAAATCATAAATTCTTTTCTTCTGGATCCTATTCCAAGAGCTAGAAAACATCTAGGCATAACTAATAAACACAGGGACTAACTATAAATAATTTCTTAAAATACAAAATACAATTAAGGGGTAAATAGCAATGTGGTTAATTATGAAAATCAAGCCAGGAGGTGGTGGTGCACGCCTTTAATCCCAGCACTCGGGAGGCAGAGGCAAGCAGATCTCTGAGTTTGAGGCCAGTCTGGTCTACAAAAGCTAATTCCAGGACAGCTAGGACTGTTACACAGGGAAACCCTGTCTCGAGAAACAAACAAAGAAAGAAAGAAAGAAAGAAAGAAAGAGAGA